AACGGAATAAAATTTAATTGTGAGATAAATTGCGGGATAACTTCATGTTATGTAAAATTTAATTTATCTAAGGAGGTGATTTAAAGAGTCCATTATGAATACTCTTAATTTATCACTTTGGGGAAATTACTTGAAAAATGAACTTCTTTTCTTTTTGGCTAATTTGAATGTCAAACAGCTGTACCAACACTATGCAGTGCAGTAGACAATATGAATATGGCGCAAAATATGCCTAAATGAACACCAAAAACAGACAGTATGAAATGAAATGAACGGCGCAAATACTGAGTGACAATTGACACAGTGGAAGGGGAGGTATGAAACTTATTATTATTAGAATTTAGAGATATTAGCTAGGAGAAACAAAAATGAATAACAACTTTGAATCTGCAGCTAGCCAGGACAACATCGCATCCGTATTCAGGTATAATAAACCAAATCTGAAGCTATATATATATGTATGATGAGATGAGTCGGATAAATAAAATACCTTCCATGGCCACCACCAGCTCTTGTTGAAAAAAGTCTCGTTCGCTTCAAGAGAAAATCATTGCAGCTGTTCAGCTTAAACTCTCTGCGGGAAAAGAAATCCACCCGAAAATCCCTCAGTTCAGTTTCCGTAAATTGTCAGCCCATAATTTTCCAGGTTTTGGCATAAATCATATATGTATATATGAACTTGATTCTATATATGATTATGATCAGACAACAAAGTTTAACATACAGAACAGATATGTAATATAATCAAGAATGAAGAAATAGTAAGAGCCCAAGGCTAAGGTGTAAACTGACCTAGCTAGAGATCTGAGCATATTAACGGCGAAGATCTGAACTCTGATATCTTCAAGAGAAAGATGTATGTACTTTATGATCTCAATTCTCAAACTCAGTGGCAGCAGCACTACTCAAACTACCAAAAAGGTCCAGAATTTTATTGGAGGGGAAGAAAACGTTAATTGCACACGCATTTTCATGCACACAGAGAGAGAGAGAGGGAGAGAAAGGTAGAGCCAAGTTGAATGAAGATGGTTTATAACATCTGTGACCTGTCATATATATTTATTGATCCTTAATTATGAAAACAGGAAAGAGGAAGCTAATAAGTCATAGTTTTTCAAAAGGGGCTTCTAGGGAAGTATCTCAATATTTTTTGGCCACTTACCGCGGCCTGCCGGGCACTTCTAAGGAATGCAATTACATATTTGTAATTTTTTATGAAGATATATGTAGCATATGGTGCTTTCCAAGTCCTTTTTTAAATCTTTCTCAAATCCAATTTTTTTTAAAATATTAATTCTTTTCTCTTTTATGAAGAAAAGTTTAGGGAGACATTGACTACTCTCACCACCATCGTCAAAGCAAAATCACAACCTTGAGTCGGAAGAACTTACGCGTGGCACCTAACTACCAACTGCCACCGGTATGGATTTATGTAGGAAATTACAAATCGCACACCAATGAGGACTGTTGGCAACGAGACTCGAACACTCTGATGGGACTACACACAGTCCAGTAACCTTACCAATTGAATCAACCATGATTTGCTCTTTATATTAAATTCTTGGGAGATCCACTATTATACCCAATATAGGAGCCCAAATTATATATATA